ACCTCTATCTGCTCAACCTATTGCTTTAATCTGTCTTCTATCAGCTCCTCCGATAATAACCGTACATATTTCATGCTCCTCTTCCATTCCAAATCAATCTCTATCGCCTGGCTCCCTAACTCTACCACTTGACGCCAGTCGATAACCGCTCGTTGATCAGATAGAAAGTCTGTCCCTATAATCATCGGATATAATAATTTCTTCCTACCAAGGCTACCCTTCGTATATTTGATTGCCAATCGTGGCGCTAAACATTATCTGTTTCGTGATAGGGCTCGACTTTTTCTGGGTGCTCCTATCACGTTTGCCGATTCATTGGCAAACACATAACTAGATTCCCTTGCGATAATTCTTCATAAAACTCTTCCGACACTACTGTTGTGCATCCTGTATCTACTAGCGCCTCTGTTTCCACTCCCTCACACTCTACCTTGATTGTAGGACACTTTCTTATTCTAATCTCCGAACTTTTACGTCTCTGCCACGGCTGGGCCCGGCCGTTCTGTTCTGTCCCTCCAATATCTTCATCATCAACTGCATCATATCTGGATGGTTACTTACTTGGCCCTCCTGATTTGAGTTTCCTGCTGCCTGGTTCATCGGCGTCGATGTAATTTTTACTTTTTCATCAAAGCAATCTCCCGACGTGTCATCTAATTGGCTTCCACTTGCAAGGTCCCTACTTTCCAAAAACTTACTTCCATCAATTCCTTCATCCGTATCATCTACTCGTTCCACCTTCTCATCTTGATCCAACATTATGCGTCGGGCCTCCATCTTATTATCTTGAATTTACTGTTCGTCCCCAACTAATCCGTGATGTTTACACGACCTTTCCACAATCTTCCCAATGGGATGATATATAGATATGTGGTAGATGTTTATATTGGAAGGTTACTTTATTTGCTTTGTTAGGCTATGTCGTAGTGCTCTCAACTGTTTCAACTTTTAGTTGTGTTGTACGTGTGCCATGAATACTTACAAAATACACATTGATTATTTAAAAAGTATTATATCATTACTATTAAGTCATTGAGTCATTGCATCTGTGTGCTTTCTCGCATAAAACATACGTACTGTAGAAAAATATATGTAATTCTCAGCGAAAAACGTCAGTCAAATGGTCAATTTCATGTTACTCATTATTACCTTTCATTCACAAAATGTTAAGAACTGGCTTCGAACTCACCGAGGCAGTGGTAACTCTTCACGAAATCAGTTCTCTCTTTCGAGATTCATTTGTAAGAGCAGCCACAACTCAGAAAGGTTTCTCTGGATTTAGAAACAGGGATATACTCTCAAATATTTTCTGCTAGTGATTTTTCTTCAGCAGAAGCAACAAAATATCTGCAGAATCTCCAAAATTTATATTAGAAGTTACACCCATTACGTCATCTGAGAAGGCAGAATCTCAGTCAATGATAAGTTTCTCCTAAAGAAATTCTTTCTGTGCAAAAATTAGGGCTAAATTTAAGCCCACTCGCAGAACTGGAAAAACTGCCATCGTATGACCCTATTTCAGAGATTTTACAAGTTCTGTCATGGAACCAACTTCAAAAAACATAATGTCGAACTGTCTTCTTCTTCTCTCCGTCCATGAGTGGGACAAAGTGAAAAACCTGCAGACTCCCAAAAAATTAAAAAGAAGAACTGGTTTTACTAATGTCAGGACAGACTTTCTATAAGGTACCGTGAAAGATATCTAATAATTTTTGAAGTAGGAATCAATACTTTTTTAAAACATAACGTACACTACACTGGTGCTTCAAGTTTACAGTTCTACTTTGCCCCACGTTCCCTACATCTATATGTTTGCCCGTGTCGCCCGTCTGTCCGTCTTGTCCGACTGTCTGTCTTGCCCGTCTATCCGTCTTGTGTGTCGGTAGTATCCGACGTCCGTCTGCATGCCTGTCCGCACGTCTGTCTGCCTGTCTTGCCCATCTTGTTCTTGTCCGTCTGACCGAACTATTCGTTTTGCCTGTCCGTCTCTCTTTTCGTCTGACTTAGTTCGTCTATCTGTCCGTTTACATGTATATTCGTTCGGCTGTTTGTCTTTCCATTTGTCTGTCTGTCCGTTTGTCAGTTTGTCCGTTCGTCTGTCTCTGTCAGTACGTCTATCTATTCGTCTGACTCTCCTTCCATCCGTCTGTCTGTCTACCTGCCTTTGTAATTTGAAACCGATATTGTCATTTTTGTGGTAATTTACATGAATCCTCAAGGACATTTTCAATTTTTTCTCAAAATGGCTCCAAATATTTTAATTAAACTTTGCCCTGGAATAGTATAAAGGAGGCACACAAAACGGTGCAGGTTTCATTTCGTTGAACTACAAAGTTGCGAAAATTACAAAAGTTAAAAATGTTTTTTGTGTCTTGAAAATATTGATCTTTCTTCTTAATAAAATCTATTCTTCTGAATTATATCTTTAAATGAGGACAAATATATTTTTTAAAATATGAATGAAGAATAGGTTTCGCTTAATTTGGAGTGAAATACTATGGGGAACTTTTAAGAAAATTAAAGGACGATTTTCTAAAAAATGGTTCCAATTTTCTGCATATAGAGCTACGTAAATTTATGTATAATATGACATTTGAGGTATTTTTAAGGTATCATTTTGAGGTATTATTAAGATTTTTCAAAATATCACAAGTTTATTTTTCTTTATATTGTATACCACTAACGTAAATATTTACATTTCGGACGTTTTTTATACATTATTTTAGTTGGAAGAAGAAGTGCTTCGTCTGATTTCATACGAAGTTTCTCGTAACCTATAGTTTTTAGTGAAAATGAACTCAAAATTGCGCATTTTCATAATCATATCATTGGTATGTGTTGACTCTTTTTTTGCCAGCGTTATTGATTGAAAAGTCAGAGACAGTGATAAAAAAATGTTAGATGGACAATTTTATCACGTAATTTGACAAACTTGTTCGAAAGGATTTATATCCAAGTAATATTTTAAATAACAGAACCAGTAAAGTTATGCATTTTAATAAAGCACCAATTACTGGTTTTGAAAGGATAGCGGTCTCTGTGATGCCCAAAGGATTTGAACTCTTGCAACATTTCACAACTGTGTAAAAATAACTTTTCAGTAACCTTACTGATGGGTTCATTCTGATATTCTCTTGAAAGCTACGTAGTCTACCGTTCCGTTAACAGATGCCATTGCGGTCGTCTATTGAAGAGGGACGTTCTGTCGATTCCTTTCTCATCTGTTGAATACGAACCCCTCATAAGCACATTTCAGAAATCGTAGGTTGAAATGTTTTATCTTGCTCTTTAAAAAAGTCTCTTTGATTTCATTTTTAATTATATCCTCCTTTTCATTTACGTTACACAATAAAAGTTCTTACCAAAGTTACATTGAAGGTACTTTTACATTGGCTTAATTTCCATGTGGACAGAAAACAACAATTTTGAACGAAAAGTTTGAATGTAGAAGCTAGATAAGTGGTGTTACATTTCTTCCCGTTTTATGCTAGTATTTGTTTTGTTGTAATTGTAACATTTTCGGAGATACATCCCTTTTATGTGATAAACTGGTTTACTTTCTCGTGTACATACTGTAAATAGTATAGAGAAAGATACAGACGTGGCCGCTAAGGATGAAAAGCAATAGCTGACTTGTGCCTGAAGGGTCGCGTGTTCGAGTCCCGCTGGGGGCATGGATGTTTGTGTGTCTGAACGTTTGTAATTGTCCATTCATCCTTCATCATTGCCATCATTTGATACCTCATCCCAGCATGGGTAACAACCTTAGGGTGTAAAAACGAATTCAGCTTGGAAATGCTGATCCTCTAAATGTAAAAACCCGTTTTCACCCCCGAGACGACGCGACTGGGTCTCGATGTGTACAGTTGCACTTTCGCGAATTCATCGGAAATTGAAGTTTGTAGTTCCTTGAAAAAGTATTTTTCAAAACCGTCCGTTAGCGCTGTTATACTAAAACTATTCGTAAGCGTTTTGCCATAATAAATATTCCCCGGTCGATCTGCCCTGATTCGAATCATTGTGATTTTGAAAATAATTTTTTGACTTTTAGGGGTATTTTCCTTGAAGTCCCCGGTACATTGTCAATTTTTTTAAAATACATTTTCTCAAAAACAGCTACATTTTTATTTCTTTACCTTTTTACACAGAAAAAACAAGGAACGTCTAACTGATTGGCGCAGGTCTAATTTTTTTAACTCCCTGAATTTTCGGATATTTTCAAATTTGAAAATAACATGAGAAAGTATGTTATATTGTAGCAACACTAATTTCATCACCAGTGCCCAGCAATATGAGTTTTTTGTGTTGAAAATTCGCTGTTTTATACCGCACGATTACAGTACTTTCTCTTGTTACGATGTAAGGGATAGAAAATTAAAAAAATAGATTTTCTTCCCCGTAAAGGGAGGTATTGACGAAGAATTTTTATTTAAGCTTCGTAGAGCTTTCAAACTCTATAAATATATCTTTCTTAGGAAACTCATTTTAAAAATCCGTAAATTTTCCGTGCATGTTTGCATATTTTGGAAGTTTCTTTGAGGAATTCAGAATGCATGTTTGAATATTTTGTCAATTAATAGTTACAATTGTTTGTGACGTACTATAGGAAGGTGTTCTTTGTACGTTTTTTTAAGGTCTGGGATCGTTACCATAACCCATATACTAGTTGGAGTCAGAATACAGATGAAAATGTGTTTATTGCAAGAATTGATAAGAAAATATTCGCCATACTATTTACAAATGTAACCGCTGTGTCGTTTTACCTACTATTTGTTAAGGCTAAAATTAGCTTGGTATATTTGCTTTAAAATGGTTCGTTTTTGAATGCAATTTTCTGCGATTTGTAATGAGATTTACAAGTGATGTCTGAGATGTGTTAATATTGAGGGAAGTTGCGGGAATGTAAAATAATACATTACCGTTACTAAGTGCGAGAATGTATGTACTGTAGCAGCACCTTAGTTTTGATGACCAACACGGACTTTCTTGCTTGTGCGCAGGAGTTCACTGTAGCTTACGGCATTCGAGACTGTGGCATGGAGTACCGCCGAGAATTGTTCCAGTTCTCCGTGCAGGACATGAAAAACCTCGGGCGCGGACTGGAGGTGGCTTATGCTCTGCGTGTCTTCCGGTGAGTTTTTTGCCTTCATTTCTTTTTGACCTTCGTCCAGTGAACACAAATAATTATTTCAGAGCTACATTTGAAATAAATATACTTCATAAAGGTATTACGCAATATTGACACAAATTTGTCGATGTAGATAGGCAATACAATAGGACATGGTGGACTAACATATAAAGGACATGGCAATATAACTCTACATCGAGAAAGTGCGATGAACTGATATCTTCAGAAAATTTGAAACTTGACTATTTTTAGATATTACTAACAGAACTCGACAGACGTTGTCATGCTCTTTCTCTTAGTCTTTGAGATATATTTTTAGAAATTAAAATGAACATATAGGATGTCACAAAATACTAGTAAATAATTTAATTTATAGTTTGTAATAATAACATATACAAGGGAGATCAAACATGATTGTATAACTATTGAATATTATTATGTGCTGTACTATCTTCTTACTTTAAATACAATAAAATCAATTCATATTTAAAAAGAAAATATTTTATTGTCATCTACATACTAACACAATGTTTTGCTAGCCAATTAGTCACATCATCAGGTGTTCTGCAATACAATTAGTTTAAAATTTACAATAACATTATAAACAAAGCAAGAAATTAAAATAGAATAATAATTGAAATTTTAAATACATTTTAAAAGAAAAAACAAGAACTGTGGTAGCAATAAAATCTCTATCGGTATAAAATTTTAAATACATAACAAAGAAGCACATGTCTTACCTGAGACAAAACTGTGTCTATTGTCTCAGATAAGACTTTTGTCTGTGTATGGTAATATATTGTAATGCCAAAGCAGTGACTTGTAGCAGTGATAATTTTTTACAAACAAACATTTTCGTATTAATATTACATGTTTGATTATGCATTTTGTGTACAGTAATAACAATACATTGTACTTAATTGTACATGTAACATTATAACTATATAATAACCACACAATAGTGTGTTACTACATTAATTCTATATAATAGTATTACATATGTAATATTTGTGTTTATATAGTATTCCCTGTCTTACATTAAAAATACTAAGTGTATTTCCATAAGAGTGTGAAAGTATCAATGAATGTAATCAGTAATTGTATGTTCAAAGCATTGTAAAAATTGAATATGAATTGTGAGAACAATGTGTTTTGTCATATATTATTTGAAACAATTCTCATTGACAAATATTTTTCTTATTATTTTTACTATTGATACTATTATTACCACTAATATACTTATCTCCGATTTTCCAAACAAAATTCATTCCTTTCAGAATTCTGTTCAAAGAAGGTTAAGATTCTTGAAAAAAGTATGTATCATAATAGCCTCTGATATTCTTCCAAACTTCCTTTCCTGAAAGAACAGTCCCTGTAAAGTAAGTTTCAATCACAGGTTTCATTATATCTTCTTTGATAACTATACACACGTGTTGAATGTTACTTTAGCTTTTTCATAGATGAATCTTGCAATTGTTTTCTTCCCAAAATAATCAATCAGATCTGATTAAGTGAAAGAATATTGTGAAGGTAATATAAATTGCATTTTAGAGGGGCACATACATTTGTAATGTTATATGCCACTTCACATTCAGAATTCGTCTTCAAAATCCTTCCTCTTTTATATTTATTTTCGAATTCCCAAATGGAGTAATAACATTGTATCTTGCTGTACTATTTAGTATTCGTAAATAACACGAAATTTGTGCATACTTTTAACACGCTTCAACTACTGTTTGAATATTGTTTGCCTAAACTATTCACTATTGTTTCAAATGTCTGATTTAAAAATTCAAAAACAAATAATGCGTTAAGAATATCACTCCAAAATGCTAAAATCAATTAAAAAATTGTTTATATGCTTACACGCATTCAAGACTGCCATTTCGAACATGTTGGTAGAAAATAAAACAAATGAAAAAGATGCTAACCGTAGCTACAAACAAATGTTATTACAGCATGTAGCCCAACACGGGGAGTATCATTGACAGTTGAGTCCCCTGAACTGGACCTTTACTAAACTTAAAGTGTAACGAAAAGTCCCTAAACCAATGTCGTTAGAATGACGGGTGATTTTCGTGAAGTTGGTATGATACACTTTCTCTGGGACCATTTGAGCCTGAAACTTCGTATACTGCCAGCTCGGCAGGTGCAATTACCTGGGGACTCGAGGCACAACGGGTCCCAAAAGGCAATTTTTTTGTCAAACTGAACGCCCTTTAAAGACTTTTCTGAAAGCTAATCGTTTATTACTATAAATCGACTAGTGTAACGTTTTAATCAACGTAATTTTTGTTATGAGGACGGAGATGTTACTAAATTGTAATTTGATATCCAGGAGCCTTATTATTGCTTCATTTAAAGTTGGACTGACACACAATTGAAACATGTATACTACGAGGTGGTTAAGAAGTGATGATTTCCTGTTGGCGATTATGACAAGATGCTTTTGCCGTTGCTTATGACGTTGATGCTTTATCACAAGCTTTATGAAAAATAAATTTAACAAGAAAGAGTGCATCTGAGCGAGCAGATTCATGCAACTCGAAAACCTTTTGGTACTAAAACAGCACATACTTTCTTCCCCTATGTAATGGTTACTCAATAATATTTTCCCCGCAATGTCTTTCAGAATTAACACATCTCATCCATATTTGTTTGTAAAACTCATTACAAATCGTATAGCATTAGATGCGAGAACTAAATATATTCTAGCAAATATCAACACAAATTCGACAATTAAAACTGCGTTTCCTACAGACAAATCATATCTCAACAATGAGACGGAATTCACAGAAGTAAATAAAACTCGCTTATCTTATTAAGAAACTAGTGGCGTTACAGAATGGCACAGACTTTCCTGTATTAGTTTTCTTTTTCCAATGGTCTCTGCTAGCTATTCGAACTTGCCACATACTCTTGCCTGGTGCTATTTATCGCCGCCCATTGTACATATTTTTTTAATTTTTCGATTTCCTAAAAGTAGAATGGAAATATTAATTTAAGGATATTAAAGAACAGTAAAAACCCGTCCTAAATGGCAATTTTTTTGACAAATTTGGAGCCGTTTTTAAGAAAATGGCGCTTAAGCGCTACAGTGTATTCGAAATTTGAAGCACTTTTTCACAAAAATGTTTTGAGTTTTATATTAACGAGTTAAATATTAACGACGTGAGAGACAAAAATACATTTTTGAAAAAACAAAATAGAGCGATATGGCGTTTATATCATTTTATAGTGTATTTAGTACAATCCCTATCAAAAGTTTAAAGAAAAAATGGAGTGTTTTTTGAGAAAATCATATTTATGTAATTTTTTAAAATTGCACAAATTGCACACAATATTGCACAAAAATTACTAAAGTTTTCAAAAAATGTACAGGACCTTAATGAAAGAACAAATTATGGATAACAAATTTTAATTCAAGAAAAATCTCTATCTTTAATTTTGTTGTTGTAGGAAGACCCCGAAAAAAATTTAAACTTTTGAAATTTTCGCGAATTCAGAGTTAACCATGAAAATCGGACATATGCCACATTTATAAGTGCACTTTATTCTTATAAGAAATTTAAAGAAAAAAGTTGGTGCTATTTTTGAGAAATTTTTTAAAATGGCCATGCCGTAGAAGAGAATCGCTGCTTAATAAATATTATGTATCGTTGTTATTTGCATGTTTCGTTATTGTGATTATTTTTATTACGATCTCGTATTTACAAATTTAACTAGTAGGAAAGTAGGTCAGTATAAGCCTAAATCGCATACTCGGGAAACATTTTTTGGCACGATAAGATTTTTTTTTTGAACAAGTGCCCTCATTCCCTGTTATATTGAGACAGTCTTTATGGATTTGTTGAAATGGACGTTTTGAATTTTGTTTATGGATTTTCTAATTTGGCTCATCTTGTCATGATCTAGGTTGACGCGCAGCAACCTCGACGACACGTTGTCCCCGGATCTAGTGCGAAGTTTGTCGAAAGTTATTCGTCTGAAGATCTTGGACCTGTCGCACTGCCGCATTGGTGACAACACAGCCTGTGCGTTGGGACACCTGATCACCAAGCACCCACGCGTGGAGCTGATTGACCTTACCAACAACTGCATCGGTGAGTACTCACGCTGCGGGGTGAGCGAGATTGTTATTTCCCGTCAAAACTGCATTATCCCTTCACACATCTGATTGGATTGATACAACATTGAATTGATTCAACATCAGCATGCAGTCATTTCATACCCATCAGTTGAAAGGGCGAATTCTCTGATCAACCGTCGCTCACCAATGGGGGTCAATGATGGACCCCACTTTTATTATTATGCTATCTTTGTTTAGGTAAGTAGTTTGTTTCATCGTTTAGGGCCTTACATAGTACACTAATTTCTTTTTAGCCTTAAATATTTGACATATATGAATATAAAAACTGTTAATATTCACATTCTGTACACGATATTTTAATTGTTTAAAAACACTTTATTTCTTCAGGGTTTCAATTTTGATAAGCAAGTTCTGAATACAAGCCCATTTATATAAATGATGCAACGTCTCTGACACCGCTTCTATCTTCAGATAAACAATAATAAAATATCATTATTTACTTTTTATTTTTGAATCATTCACAATAACACTCAATACACACCTCTTTATAAACTCATCAAATGTCATCCAGTTTAAACATAAATATGGTCTTCCATTGCCCATGTCTTAAAATTATGAAAAATACACGAACCTTCCATGTCCAGCTCTGTCTCCGTGCAACGGTTGTGTAAAATGAATCAGAGTGAAAGGAAGGGGGAGTTGTTGGAAGAATAACTGCGTGTGTGTGAGAGAGTGACACTTATTTTTAGAAATTGAAATTTTGAAAGTTTTCCTTCATTTTCTATATTTAAATTTTTTATTGTTATATACATTGGACAGTTCACCATCGCAGAATTTAGTAAATACACTAGATTCTACCTGCGTGTTTTACGATGGTTGCCTTTTATATTTCAGGATTAGAGAACAAAAACAATTATTAATCAACGAAAATCACTTTATTGTTTTTCAAAATATTCCCCATGAAGGTCTATACACTTTTGCATCCGTTTGAATGAATTGTCGAAGAACTTTAGCCACTCTGATTGAGGCATCTCCAAAACATGCATTCTGAATGCAGGCAACCGCTTCTTCAGGTGTCGAAAAACGTTGACCTCTCAGTTTGTTTTTTACGCATGGGAATAAAAAGAAGTCATTCGGTGCCAAGTCAGGACTATACGGTGGATGACTCTTCAAATCGATGTTTTGGGTGCTCAAAAATGCAGTTGTTTGAGCCGATGTGTGAGAGCTCGCATTGTTGTGATGAAGAGTGATCCGTCTTCGGCGGTTGGTTTTCCTTATTTCTTGGAAGACAGCTGGCAAACGAATCGTTGTGTACCACTCAGAATTGACTGTACTGCGTTGTTCTAGTGGTACGGTTGCCACATGTCCAGTTTTTTCGAAAAAACAGGCGAGCAGCTGTTTGGAAGTGCTTCGTGAGCGAGCAACTTTTGTTGGATTTTGCTCATCTTGAAACACCCATACAGTCGACTGCTGTTTACTTTCGGGATCATACGCGTACATCCACGATTCATCACCTGTCACGATGTCATAGACGTGTTTCGAAGCCCCGCGATCGTTTTTATGAGCATTTCTTTCGACCAATCGACACGAGCCTTTTTTTGAGCGATTGACAAATTGTGTGGGATCCAACGCGAACAATTTTTGTTGACAGTCAAATGTTCATGCAATATTGAATGTATGCTGGTCCCACTAATGCCTAAGGTTGTCTCAATCTCACGATAGGTCACATGACGATCTTGCAATATCAGTTTACACACAGCATCAATGGTTTTCGGAACAAGAACTGAATCTTCAATACAATAATTTTTGCCTTTAGGCATGATTGTACTAGTTGAAAAAGAAATATTACACTGATTTACAATTCACTATTATAAATTGACAAAAGGAAATTAAAAAAAACTTCACAAAAAATTACATTCATGAATGATTTGTGCAATACACTTACTAGAAATAATAACGCAAAACGAGGAAGAAAAATAAAACACTCCAGGAAACTACAAGAAATACCTGCAAAAATACAGAGCGCATTAGGCCTGTATGGTAGCACTCTCTCCAATAATCATAAATGGCTTGTGTAATAAACTTACTAGAAATAATGGTTGATTCGGAGTTTAGGGTGGCACCGGTTCCTTTGGTTCACTGATTCGGTTCACTAATCTCGTGATTCACAAAGTTATAGTTTCGCGGTTCACTTCAGTCACTGGACGCATTGATTTTGATGGCATTGATTCAAAGCTGTCGATTGATCTCTGCAGATGGATGCCTACTCCGCAGGAATCTAGTTCTGGGTCCTCCTCGAGCATTCCCTGTTGCATTGGGCCACCCCGTTCCCATAAGCCGGCGAGTCTCAAATATACACAATTTAACTATGTCACTATGCCAAGTAAAGTTATACATTTTTCCAATTACGAAACATTTTTTCTTCATGACGATACATTTTAAATTTCAATTCACATCTAAAATTTCACTTCACAACACTCTTTTAAATCACAAAATAAAGACTTCAACTAGCTGTTTGAAATAGACTTGATTTACTAATAAAACAGCCTCCTAATAACACATTTAGTTGTTACTATGACTACAAAATTATTTACTTCATAATTTTATGAATTGTTAAATTGCGAAGAATTTTGTGGCGTGGATTTGCGAGTTTTATTGTCATTTCAAGTTTCTTTTTAATTGTTTTGTGTGTCTATCGAGATGGAAGGTATAAATTCAGAATTTTTTATGATTTTCGCAGAGAGGGAAGTTTGAATGTGATTCAGTGGTGGCAGAAAGTGGGTTTGCTTGCATCTCGACGTGTATGTAATGTATGCAAGAAAGAAATGAAATTTACTGAGAGAAAGGATGGAACAGATGGTTTTGAGTGGATTTGCAGTCAGAGGCGAGAATGGTCATAGCGTAAAAATGTCTGTGAAAGGACTCTTCTTAAGAACTTTAGTTATTTATTGAATCTTCTTTTATGAACTTGTTCATAAAAAGTAAAGTGTGTATTTTTTTCCCAGATAAAAGCAGATTTGGCGATACGTTGAAGAATCATTGAAGTTTTTCGTATTATAAGGATGTTATGCGTAATTAGTAGAGACGTTACACAAATTTTATTACCATAGTATTTTAATACTATTAAAATTCTATAATTTCAGCGATTATGCAAGTTGATTTTTTCTTTTTTCTAATAAAATACTGCAATTTTTAATATAGTGTTTGTTTGAAAAAATGACCGGGTTGATTTTATATTATAATAATAAAAAAGTTTAAGTAGAAAGTGTTAGTGAAATATACTGTAAATTCTAGAGATTATAAAAAAGTGTTAAAGTAGATAAGATGCTTTTTTGGTAATAAAATATTGGCTTTGAGTAGTAATGATAGTTTAAGTAGCATGTGAGTGTTAAATAGAAATTATAATTCTTGAATTAATAAATACGATAACATAGTGAACATTACAACATGCGAATAGTAAACAAGGATTCCGTTCAGTGAGTCGATTCCCACCAGTGAACCAAAAGAACCGGTGCCACCTTAATCTCCGAATACACCATAATAAGGCAAAACAAGGAAGAAAAATAAAATACACTCCAGGAAACTACGGGAAATACCTGCAAAAAATACAGAAAGCATTAGGCTTCATGTACAATAACATTCACTATAAGAAAGTACAGTAGTGGCGATTATTTACATGTGTTCATCATACAATTTACTTACCTCGAAGAAAGAAAACACTTCCGTTTACTTCGAATAATCATCACACACTAACTTACTGCGGACACAACCACTCTCTAACGCGTAAACACAACAAATGAGAGACATGTGGTCGCAGCGCGCGACGTCAACTCGACGTTGGACTGTCCACCCTCTGTTAAATTCGACGCTCTTTGTACAAGATGAAGTGCGTGTGTAAACTCGGTTGCCAAGAACTACGAAACAGCTGCCGCCAATGCCATGTTGTCACATTTCCCTTCCACTTACGGGAAGGAACTCTCATTCCGCGGACTTGAGGAACGTCTATGAAATACGAGCGCCTATAAGGGAACACTTATTTTGTGAAAGCACTTATCACTTAAGAGTTAGCTTATCCTATAATTGACGACTATGAATTCGTCTCTAATTCAGGTAAAGCACAGTCATTGAGGGAATAAGTTAAATTTTTAATGATGGCTATGTTAAGGATATCTGGTTGAGCGTTACAGCTTTTGGGGTAGTTAGTAGGATTTGTTGGTGCTATATTTGGAATTTTAAAGTTGTTGATGATTTCTGTAACTTATTCCTGTTTGGAGTATTCACTTTGCAGCCCCAATTGATATGTTTGCTGTTTAGATCTCCCATTAAAATGGTAGGTTCTGTACTATGTTATATTAGCTTTAATTCATTTATATTGATTTTTTAGGTAAAAAATATGCTGTTATGATATTTATATATCCATTTTTGGTTATTTTCACTGCAATCAGTTCAAGATAGTTCGATTGTGGAATAGAAATTAAATGGTCCAGTTTCTTTTTGATTAATATAGCTACTCCCCCTGCTTCACGTCAGGCAAGTCATCATCAAGTCAAGCTTCAAGTCAAATTATTGTCTTCTCTTTAACAGTTATATCCAGGGATTTTAAAAGTTTGTCCTAGAGCAAAGTGAGTTGCTAGAGCATACAATTGTTATTAAGTGATTTTTTAGAAATTAGTTACGTGTATTTTTTTATTTGGTAAGCCATTTGCATTCCAGTTAATAAGTATTACTGATTTTAAGTTGGGCTGTTTATCCATTTCTTATTATATTTGAAATTGGATTTGATGCAATATTTTGTATTTGTGGAATTAATGTTGCTGTTATTTGGTTAATTATTGTTAGTAACATCTGCATTAGAATTTGTGTAATGTTTGACAGGATGGGTTTGCGTGTGTTTGTACATATGTGGGTGTAGGTGTGGTTTGATTGTTATTAAATGCCATTTGTGAAAATAATGGATTTTGAATTATGTTTGTTTGTGGTGAGAATGTTTGCGAGTTTTGTTTGCATATGTTTTGTGATAGTAGGGTTTGGAATTGGGTATTGAAATGGTTTGATTGTTGGATTATTTTTCTTTTTGGAAAATACTTACATTGGTTAGAAGTAGCCACATGATTTTTTTCATGAAGTAGAAATTGGGGATGAAGGGTTTGTGGATTGTAATAATTCACACTCTTTTATCCAATGATGTTGTGCACAGTAGCCACATTTGGGGGGCATTGTGCAATGATTTTTTGTGTGTCCATAAATGAAGCATTTTTTGCATTGAGGTGGGCCTTGTGGTTTCCTTCTTATTTCTACTTTAACAATGCAATGAATTAATTTGTCTAGTATAAATATTTCTTTTCCTTCAATTGAGTTAATTCTAATGAAAATTCTTTAAAGGGTAATTGTTCTCTGTTAGTCTAGTTTGGATAATTGAGACCTTCTAATTCCTTATAAATTTCCTCCTCAGTGAATATTAAGGGTGCATTTTTATTACAGATGATAAGTTTTTTCTGATTGTACACAGATATATAGTAAGGGACATTTTTTCTTCATAATATTTTCTGACGTTTGGGTTGTAGATAACGTTTTCAGTAATATTTTTACCGAAACCCTTGTAGAAGTGTTATGTTTCATGCAAATGGAGGCATTTTATATTTTATGGTTGTTGTTCTTTTTATTTACATTTTCATCTGATTCTTCTACTGTTTCTCAAATTGAATACCTATTTATTGAAGTAGCGTCTTTACTTGCACAATTGTTTAGCATTCTACGCTTTGCGTCACTATAATCAGTTACTTTTGTGGGTTCTCTTTTTTTGGTGAGTTGATGCTGTGCACTTATTAATTGATGAGATTCGCTGACGTTTTCTGCTGATTTATCTTCTGCAGTTTGAAGATTTCCGGCTGACTGCAAGTTCCACGTGTGTAGAACATGTACTGCTGCTTCCGTGCTGTTTGTTCGGTCGCTCCGTAAATGATGAAGCTGTTGTAGTATTTGGTTTTGATGTTCTAATTTGTTAAGATGTTATTGAAGCATATGATTTTGATGTAGGAAATGTTGGTTTTGTTGCTGTAGATCTGCTATTTGGTTTTTGAGTGTGAATTGCGAATTAACTTGTGTTTCCATTTCCTTCATTGTTGAGTAGTTCAATCTATCTGCTGATCTGCCGTAGGGGGACATCTGATAACATATTGAACACAAACGTATTATTTGAGTTATTCACTCTAGCACTTACTGTTATTGAGACAAATAAATAAATAAATGAACTGTATGTATTTGTCTATGTGGTGGTGCACTTCTATCAAAATATAATTGTTCGTAGTGTAGGTTTGTCGCAATGCGGCAAAACTGTCGTTGAGTACGCCTAAGCAAAAGAATTATCGATCACACTAGTTCTGATATGATTTTGACTCAGTCACTGATAACTGCGTAGGCAACTCGGAGCTAGGTCACGTCCGTTCCGCTCAGCGGGTGAGAGCAAACTTCCCGTAAAATCTAATACGTCATCATTTGTGCTATTTATGTGCCCGATTATGTACCATTTCTTTCAAAGAAGAGGTTGTTTATAATGCTGGAATACAAAAACGTATATTACGTACAAAAATAGTGCATAATTACAAAACTTCTATAGGAATTCATATTTTTTTATTTACAACGTCATTTTTAAGTACGAGTTTACTGAAGGGAAATTGTTTCAATGATATCCATTTCTTTTGCAGCCATAGAATGTGGTCTCTTCACCGTCCATACCTGAATGGAACCTCGTAGATACTCTTCATGTTCGCAGAAGGGTCAGAGAGAAGGCCAGTACTCGCGAGGCAAGCCGCTACCTTGATTGTGCTCGGGATCTGCGAGCCGGCTCGTCGAGCCCCAATTTGGACAGGCCTCGTTTATTAATCAATCTCGTCCAAAGTAGGTGTCTGTCGTAACTCCAGTTTTAGTTCCGAGTGTTGACTGCGTCCGCGAGAAGCCGACACTGTGCGGGAGCTGCGAGTTGCGAGTCGCCGGGGTCGCGTCGCGACTCGCGAGTGAGGCATGCGCGCGTCCGTTGCAGGGCAGCGCGGCGCGAAGGGGCTGGCGTACGCGCTGCAGCACCCTCCGTGCGCGCCGGTGCGCGAGCTGCACCTGCGGCTGAACCGCATCGGCGACGGCGGCGCCGCGGCCATGGCCGCCATGTTGGAGCGCGCGCGCCTGCCCTCCATCCTCAACTTGGCCGCGTGCGACATCACATCAGAGGGCGCCATGCACATGGCCGTCGCCCTGCGTCACAACCACACGCTGCGCCGCCTCAACCTCTCCAACAACCCACTTGGCGACGTGAGTACCCGCGACTGCGTACACTGCTAGCGGAGTTCCAACATCTTATTTTTTCCTCTCCTGACTCCCCTTCTCCCTTTTCTGTGAGGTGATGATCTAATCCCTATACAGTGTTTGAGTAAAACTCCGAGTGTATGCTGGGATGTGCAGTTTCGTCACTCGTGGCTAGACCACTTCCCGTTCACCAAGCGAGACCTATGAGGTGTCATTCGACGTGTCTCGGTCTCGTAATGGGGAGATGACAATTTGTTTTCGCATGCGGACACGTGCAATCCGAACATGAAAATAACTTTCAATATACATTGTTTTATTTCTTATTTTGGGGATGTTCTTTGTGAATTGTTTGTGGTAGTGTTTATTTACTGAACACTATTGCAATTGTTTTTCAGACAGCTTCTCTTTCATTTTAAACCCTTTTCCAAAATCAAGGAACCTATCCCACAGAAATCCAACCCTTCGCGATTATTGGGTATTTACATTACATTTTGCTATACATTATATACAAGATATATTATATTTTGATGTCTTTCTTTTCTTAAACGTTGGTTTTCAGTTCGCGTGAAAATAATATTTATATACCTTTCACCATCTGTCATCGCTTATCGAGCCCACAAATTCGACTCAGTACAATTCAAACCAGTACAACTTCCATTTTCTATTTAAATTAAAAAGTTAGTGGGGAATTTTTTTTTATTATCTTTCTCTATGTCTTAATTTTATGAAGTTGAAAAATAAAAACGTACAATGTACCTCTTAAACGTTTTTGGAGGATTGGATATAAAATACTTTTTAAATATGGTATTATGAGAATAAAGGATGGTTTGTTCTCATGGAAAATTGTTTCAATTACTGCCTTCGTTGACAACCCAAATGATGTATACATGGGCAATATAACGTCGCGCAGCATATATGTCGCATATGAATATCGACTCAATTGTACTGTTGTGAAACGCAAATTGTTCTCTTTACATTAATGCTATGATTTTAATTCTTTACCGAACAAGTGTCATTTCGTGAGCCTTTATCCACGTTTTAAATGAAAGTATAACAAAAGTATATGTTTTGTAACATTTTATTAAAATATTTCAACTAGAACCGAAGAGAGGTGCTACAAAATTCTGAAATTAAATTTTAACTATGTTTCTCACTTTAAAACATTCATTGCCGTAATTAGTGAGAACGTCGAATGTTAGGATAGGTGTTTAAATTCCTAATTACTCAAGCATAGTATCTGGCATTTTCTTGTTTATCTGCTATTGTTTTCTAAGGATCGTTTTTAAATATTTGAAAAATGATGATCTACTTGAAATTTTTAAATGCGAGGATTTTTGAGACAGATTAAAAAAGACATTGAATTTAAAAACGGTGCAGATTCCTTTCTGTTTCCATCCATATTTTTGTAGAAGTATGTTTATCAGTGAGATAGTTTTGTAGCGCACGCGGAGGAAAACGCACAACGATCACGAAATAAATCTTTTTGCAACCGCAATATTATAGTTGAAGGTAAGGATATTGCACTGTGAGAAGATGGTTACATAGTTTTATCGAATATTTGTTTCAATCAGCCACTCAACTAACACTTTAAGAAATTCAAAACTCATTTTACTTTTGTAGTATAAAAGTTTCTTAGTGCTGCAAAAATCGATCTTGAAGATTTGTACTAAAATACACATTTTTCTCGATGTTGATAACGAAAACAAATTATTGCCAAAAAAGAAATGGTTAATTGCTACTAATATTTTTGAAGAATCTACAATTCGAATGTAAGCAATGATATATCCGGAAAATTTCATTACAGTGCGAAATATTTACGAAAAGTAAATAGAGACCATATCTTTAATTAATGTAACGAAAGAAGCCACTTCATTTCAACCAACTTGGGTAATTGCCATCAAGGGTGCTTTCCTACTCAAGTTGAAGGATTTCTAAGAAAATGTATGCCAGAGAACATGAATTAGTCAGGAGGACGAGCTCAGATAAAAAGAGGGCGAGTAGGAGGTCGAGCTCAGATAAAAGGGCGGTCTCCGGGGAAAGAGAAATCCTCCATGGAAGTGAATCATCAAGAGACAAGCGAACTTCTCTCAAATGCTGATCATCCGAAACTTCAGAAGAAAATAATCAAGAACATAGTCGTTTTGCAAGGGATAAAGCTTTTTCTTTAGTTACATTGGATTCTTTCGGGAGTGTGACTAGCTGAGTTGAGTTCAGAGCCAGAACTATTGCTGCAGATTCAAGAAAAAGCGGGTAATCCGACCTTAGAATTGTAAAGTGAAACTTATACCAGTCAAAGTCACACTCACTTTACCTTTTGTCCCTAAAATTAATAATTACCTTCGTTATAGAATTTCTGATAAAAAATTGTCATCATAATTGGGAATTATTTCCTCCCAAAGAAAATCTGACTAAAAGTGTCAAAAACGAAATGCTTTCAACTGAAAACCAAATTTAGTTTTTGGCCTAAAATGTTTGTTTTGTCTCCTATGTGGGACAAACAAAACGGACACTCAAGGATTAAAGAACATGTTAATAATATTAAGGAGATTGGCACAAAATTGAATTGTATTTCTCGACATCGCCGTTATTCGTTCAATTTTGACAGCCATACAATTTTGGATTACGAACCAAGAACATTTTCGATGTTAATCTCTGAAATATTACGTATTACACACGAGACCATTAATTAGGTGTTAGAATCAAATATTTTTACTAACATTAATGACAATGTTGTTTCTAAATTAAAAGAATAAAATAGAATTATAGATTTTATGATTGTTTATGTTTTTTCTTACACAATCTTGTTGTTTTACGTATGTTTATCTCTGTTCTTTCCCCCTTCCACCTCCCTTTTTATTGACTTGTTATATATTCTAAATGATAACCTATATTTTTAACGTTATGCGGTTTTCTTTCTGGTGGATCTAAAGCGGTATGGTTTCTATTACAATTGCAGCATTTAGGAATATAATTTCTAGTATCTTGGGAGAAGGATGGGCATTCTTCTGAGAAGTCGTTTTGGGTGGAGAGGTCACAAGTCACCTGTCATATGCAATATGTCTTCGTGTGATATAGTTTTTGACACCTCTTGCACTGATGTATCATGTCATTGGGTTTGTAATTTTCTGGTGTTACTCTGAAGTAATCTATGAATTTCATTGTCTTTTTAGTTTTTGTAATGTCTTTCTTAGTCGTATCAACAGTATATATACCAAGTGATATGTCTTCCGTATCCGTTGCGTTTGCTCATTTCAGGCACATGAAAGAATGGTATGTCAATCACTTGAAGATTTTTCTTAATTTTGTCGGTGTTATATTCCGGTAATAATGCTTTGAATACAGGCTTGCTGTGGGTCTGTTCAGTTGCCCTGTTGAAGGAGTATGAGATTTTCACAAAGAATATATCTTTTAGGTTGGTTGTAGAAATCTTATCTTTTAGGTTGTTGGTTTGGTCCATTCGGTCGCGTATTTTGTTGTAGGCTGTTATAGTCTGTGGCTGAATTAAACGTTATGTCATGGTACATTTGGCTGTGAGTTGGTTGTTGCAGTGTTTCATTAAGTCCTTCGTCAGTTCTGTTGGGTTGAGTAGGGTTGGGATCTATTCTGAACGGTCCAATTCTATTTCTCTGACGAGTCGGTTGTTGGGGTGAGGGTTGGCTGTCAGCATCTTAGGATGTATGGTTTTCATTTGAAGATTGGGATGTAGGATCGCATTCGTTCTCATCAGGTTATTCAAGAGATTTGAATCTGTTGTTGAGTTCAAAAGTTCTAATAGGGATGATGAGGGTGTCACCGGAATGTTGGGTAATCAAGGTGTACCCATCAGCCTTCAGGCATTTTTTGAAGGCCCTGTCAGTGGAGGTGTCGTTGGGTCTTCGTGCGGCCAAGGTGCGGAAAGTCACGTGCTGCTTTGTGCTCGATGGCTGGCCTGTCTCACCAGTTGCACCGGTAGGTTGGTTTGTCCCTCCAGTTGCCTCGGTTGGTTGGACTGCCCCTCCAGTTTCTTGAGACACCAGCGGTCGCAGCCGCGCCTGCTCCAGGAAGCGTCGGTTGCTCTCCAGAAGCGCTCGGCGAAAGATATCCCGGGGCGTCTCGGAGAAGTCAAACGTGGTGTTGTAGTGCACCTTTTCCTGCTCTGGTACAGTTGCGTTCGTGTGCTCGGCTTCGATGTATCGATCGAGGTGTTGTCAACGTCACAGCTGTAAGCAATATGACAATAGAAGTTAGCAACGTACAAGAGAGAGTATATCAATATACTGCAAGGGTGCTGCTCACTCATGTGCAAAACTTCTTTTTACAACGAATATTTAATTCTATTTCAAATATGAAAAAATAAGGAAATACTAGAAATGTGAATAACAATAACAAATGAAATAAAAATTCACCATTTGGTACTTTTCTTTGAATCCTTTTCAAATCTGAAATAAAAAGATAATTAAAACATAATTATTGTTAAGGGTTACGAAGATTAAGAGTGCATGAACATGTTAGATCAAAATAAGATGGTTAGATAAATATTAATTATTAAAAGAAGGGGAGATAAAGAGTGAAAATTATATTGTGTCGAGAAATTTCGCTGTTGTCAAGTAGGTTTAAAGCTAGATGATTGGGACGCATTTCCAAACTTTGGTGATATGTAGAGCTTATTTCTTGCATCTTTTTTTCAACCGTTGCTATATTGACGTCTCAGTGTACTGCAGAATTTGTTATGAACCAGGATGCAGTTGATGTTATTCTTAAAATTTTTTATTGAAATCCTTGTAGAATTGACAAAATTGTTTCGCTGGCAATGCCTCAGTTCTGAATTGCGTATGTCCAAATAGAGACTAAAATGGTTTCATAATTAATAATTTATTTTAAAGCGACCATTTTGATATGAGTCCAATAAGTCAAAACATTGTTTTCGTTTTAACTGTAACTTTTGTTTTTGTTTGTTTTTTCCCCGTGAGACGTCCATATCAACATCTATATGTTTAATGCTCTGATTGCGGTATTTGATTTCTGTT